AAGTGTAGTGTCCCCAGGTACCAACTGGCTACGCCCCAGAAGCTCTTGAGAGCTAGTAGCCCTGAGCTACTTGCCAGGGCAGCTTCTTACACTGCTGGGGCCTGGACAGGGTAGCTTTTTATACTCCTGGGGACAGCACAGGTGCTGGCCCTGGCCTCTAGCTCTCCTGCCTGAAGATGTGGGAGGAGCCAGGCAGGATTATTTTGCCCCAAGTGGCACAATTTGCTCCACAACAAAGTGCATATCCGAGCATGCGCGCCGACGCAAAAAGCCCTGGCTCAAATTTGTACCACTTCTATTTGAGCTGCTGCAAGTGCACGTGCTTGCATGTGTGGACGCACCCCATTAGTCTAAATCAAGACTCTTATTCCATTACCTGGATTAGCTTTTATAACACATAAGTCACTCAGTGGGTTAACTGCATTTTTTCCCCTCTCCTACTCACCTTGCCTCTCTCTCACCAGTGCCTCCTCATTTTCCCTCCCCCTTTCCTTGCCCTTTGTATTCTAATCACAGCTTTCTATTTAGAAGCTCTGCTTCCTGCAGTCCCTTCACAACATCTGATGAAGTAAGCCCTTCACTTATGAAACCTTATGCTATAACTCTCTAATTTAGCTAGTCTATAAAGTGAAAATCTACCCTGCCTTTATAAAGATCTGTAGCCACAAACTCAAAGCCCGAGAACCAACTTCAACCATGGATAGCAGTTAAATAATTCCTTCATGCCTCAAGTGTTTTTAGAAGAAAACCTGCTTGGTAAGATCCTCAACATATGGCATTTGACAAGCCAAAGGATTTGTTCCCTACTAGAGCCAAATCCGTGATTCACTATGCTCACACCATGAGTGCAAGAGGCTGACATCACTGCATAGAATCAGCTATCAGAAGAAATTGAACTTATTTCAAAGATGACATTTCAGCTCAAAAAAAGCCAAGGGGAGACCAAATTCAGAAATAATACCAATCTCTCCTTCCAGTTCAGTCCACCACTCTTATTTCATATGAGCCACCACTATGTAGAAAAAGGAATCAGACACAGGGTAAGTCACTTTAAAGCATCTAGGTTAAGTCAACTGAAGAGGGGTGACTCTGGGTTCCTTCATAACCCTTCATTTCCTCTCTCCAGCCTTTTCACCCAGCCCCACTTTTAAATAAACCAACTTGAAGCTTTGATCTTCTAGAACTGAAGACAGTAAAACTTGTTTTTCCATTGCTTCCAACATAACTACTTAGCATTTTCCTAGTTAACTCTGCAAATGCATTTCTATCAAATAAAAAGGTTAATGGTATTTAACATCAGTCACAGAAATTAAGGAATTAGCAAAACGAACAATTATTATTAGTCTGAAAACCTTCCACCAAGAAGAAATAGAATTTGAGAAAGAAATGGAAATAATTAAAAATACCTACTTTTCTTTCACAGCTTTGGCATTCTTTTCATTCACCACCCCAATGGGCTTGGACAGATCTCTGAAGACAGCAGGATTATTCAGGTCCAACTCTTCTGAAGTATAATCTCTAAGGACCCAGGGAAACTAGAAAATGGTAGTTCAAAACTCAGGTATAAAACCCATCTTTCAACAAAAATAAATAATATATATAGAGAGAGGCCATATTTACCACTGGATATTGTGCAAGGTCATTGTAAGTTCGTCCTGCCATAGTATTCAGTTGAATGAGGTAGTCAAAGTTAGATATTTCTCTGTTCACCCATTTCTGGAGGACAAAAGAAAAAGGCAACACTGAGATTATTAAACTGGAATAATTGTTGCAATTATAGATTATATATTTTTCTGTGTTTAGCTAACAGTTGTTAATAAATAAGCGGCACTACTTTATGAACATGATACAAATTCACAAGTTTCACTTTTCATAACCTAGTTTACAGTCCTGCTGCTTCTGAGGCTAGGCTGCCCATCCCTTGAGATTAACAAACAGCTGACTGATGTAAGGAATTGTCTTAAATGCAGTGCAGCCAACAGCCACTTTCCCAGACTGGCAATAAAAACAATTTTAAAGTTCTGTTAGAAAGAAGAGAAAGAGGACAGATTTAAAAAAAAAAAAGAGAGAAAGAGAGCGATTGGGGAAAACAAGATGAGGGAAATGGAAAGAAGCTTAAACAGGAAAGGAGAAAAATAGGTACCACTGGATAAGAAAAAGCAGGAATTTGACACATGATTCAAACTTCCAATTTAAAAGGGTAAAGTCTCTACATCTTGCTCTGTTAACTATACACACCTTAGTGAGTTATTAGTGTCTTTGTGAAAGCACTGCCAAATGTCTTATGTAACTCTGAACCCTGTGCAGACTGTTTCTATGAAGCTCTATCTATTACACTTGGACAGCAAAATGGGGGAGCTCCAGTGTCAGGAAGAAGAAAATGTAAAAATGGAGAAAACTTGGGAAATACTAAACCTTTGAATAACAGTACAAATCTCCCTCTCTTCCAAAAAGAAAATATAGGTCTGGTGATGCAAAAAGACATAGGTCCATGGCAGTTATTAAACTAACAGTGCAACTGGGATCTGAGGAATTTTATGTTCCATCTCAAACACAGTGAGTCTTGCCATGCATGATATACTCAGCTGAGTTTCAGGATGGGACATAGGGCAGCCCCAGTTGGGGTTCAAATCTCAGAGTCTATATGTTGGCCAATGGGGAGAGGGGTGTACTGTGTACGTTTTGAGGCTTGACCTGCTCCCACATGCAGGATGCAGAGCAAAGCATTTGAAAATACCACAGCATGGGGAGCTGATAGGCCCCCCCTTACCTGGTGTCCAAGTTGCAGCCTTGCCCTGCAGCCTGCATTGGGATGAGGCTGCAACCATGCTGGGCACAAGGGGTACACATGAATTCCCTGCACCGTGGCTTTTCTATATGTCCTGACACTGCAGAACTTTTAAAATGCTTTGCTCTGCCACTCATGCCACACATCAGCCACAAAGATGTTCCACATTAAATATGAAGCATCTTTGTAGCTGGTTTGCCACTTTACAGCATCATGTTACAATTATCATATGAGCAATGCATTAATTATGCAATAAATGCAACATCTGCCAGAGACACAGATAAGGCTGCTGAGTGAAATCAGAAAAAATGTGGTAATTTTTCTTTCTTCTGAAAACAGACATTTTACTTGCAAGCTAAGATTACTGCACTGTAAGTGGGAAGTAGGACCCATATAGGTCATACTTCATCTGGGTTTTCTGAAGATACCCATTATAATAGGTTGCATGGCAAATTATTTTGGTGGGTAATGAAAGAAACAAATGTTTGGCCAAACCTATTTGCTAACACCAAAAGTAAAATCACTGTGTGTCCTCTAATTCTTTTGCACACATGATGCCCCTGCAGACACACCCAGATTGATAAAGTGGTATGAATTTGGTAACTGTACACACTAAGGAAAGCATTTAGTGTAGGAAGACATGAATTTGACTCAAGTGGGGAATAAACTCTAACTTGTCAAATGCCATATGTTGAGTTTTATACCAAGCAGATTTTCTTCTAGAAACACTTGAGGCATGAAGGAATTATTTAACTGCTATCCATGGTTGAAGTTGGTTCTCAGGCTTTGAGCATGGCTATAACTCTTTATAAAGGCAGGGTAGATTTGCACTTTACAGGCTAGCTAAATTAGGGATTTATAGCATAAGCTTTCATAAGCAAAGGGCTTACTTCATCAGATGCTGTGAAGGGACTGCAGGAAGCAGAGCTTCTAAATAGAAAACTGTGATTAGAATACAAAGGGCAGGGAAAGGGGGAGGGAAAATGAGGAGGTGCTGGTGAGAGAGGCGAGGTGAGTAGGAGAGGAAAAAATGCATTGAGGGACTTAAGTGTTATAAAAGCTAATCCAGGTAATGGAATAGGAGTCTTGGTTTAGACTAATGGTGCTCAACCTCTTTGGCCAGTGGGCCGGATAGGCAGTGCCCAGGCTGTCTGTGGGCCAGATCTGGCTGGTGGTCCTGACAGACAGAAGTGAGGGGAAAAGATAGCCCCCTTGCCATTCATGTCCAGAAACAGTGAAAAATTATCATAAACCCTAGCTTCAGAAATTTATTTTTAAACCAGTTCTTTGAAAAATAGTCAAATTCTCTATATCTATTCCCACTAAAATCTACGTACCTGCATCAAGCCTGAAGCTTTAAACTGTTCCTGAGGAGACCTGGTCCCATAAATATTTGGAGCGCGAAGTGACAAAATTCGACTGTATACTTTGTTTCTCACCTGTAAAAACAAACAAGCAAAAAAAATTACACTAAAGAATGCAGCTAACAAGACAGTCAGCAACCTTCATCACTGATTAATTAAAAAAAAGTGATTGCATTTTGAATTATGCTCTTCTCATGTTGCCAAAAAACATTTTTATTCAGCTGTCGGAACCAGGAATAGATAATATTTGTGACTAAAACAAATCTGACTCATGCACAAATCACAACCAGCGAAACTAATCATCATATCCAAACCAATTCCATTGAAAACTCTATTATGCATCTTCAGTGGTAAAAGCTTTACTGTACAAGTTATTCGTCTGATATCTTCACTTTAAATGCTGTGTATGTAGCAGCTATCAGTAAAATTAACTCATCAGTTCAGTATTTAATCCATCCATTTAGTCCTTGTAGCCCTACTTAAAAGGGATCACTTTAGAGAAAACCAATTTTTCAAACCATCAGGAGGGAAAAATTGTAATTATTTTTATTTTTCAATCCCAGTGTATCAACCATTTCATGATTCACTTGTTGAAATTATTTAAAATCTGTGTAATATGAAAGTTACCCTTCATATAATTTCTGGTGAGGTAGAACTGCATAGCTGTTCAACATTGAAACATTTTTTCTCCTTTCGAATATTCCAACAAAATAATGTCCATATCCTTATTTCCCCAATGTGGCTTAAATCTAGCACATATTTTGATGCAGCTATGATAATACTATAGATGATGCAGTGAGTCAAATTTGAAATAGCCACTGAACTATAACTTTCCATTTGTGCTGAATGATCATTAGGGAAATATGACATGTTCATACCTCCTTATTGAAGTTAAGGAAGTAGTTGGTCTGATCAGTAAGAAAGATCTCCAAAGCTGACCTCCTCAAGTTGTAACGACGTAAGTGTATCTCTCGAATTTGAGAAAGAGCCCATTTGAAATCATAACCTACCCCTGGGAACAAAACAACTTCAGTTACTGATCAACAATACACTTCACAGTGGTACTTGTACTCCACAAGTCAAAATAAATTCCTAACGCGGCACTGTCGTCTAGAAATGGTAGTTTTATTTAATGCCAGATTATCTGTAGATACATACAACTATTGATACTTGGCTGGCAATCATTCCAGCCTTCAAGCAGTGTTCCTGTGATACAGAAATGTAAGTAAATGTTTCTTTTCTCCTCTTTTGGTAAACTGAAAGAATTTCTTCATCCTTAAAAGCCCTTGACAAAACCAAGATTTGCTCAAAAACAGTCCTCAGACCAATAACTGAAAAAAGACTAGCTTGTTAATATGCCATTTGTGTAAAGGTTTTATATTTCCTTTAGTCAAACAGTTCAGTTCACTTTTCCAAGTTCAAATCCCACGTTGGGTGGTTAGCACATACTAACTTCTCTACAAATGGTCATCAAATGGTTATAAGCTAATTAATTCTTCAAACTACTTCTTTTACCTATTCATATGGGGGGAAAGCTCATCCTTCAATATAATTGGTCACTAGCATGGAAGAGATTACAGGGAACTCTCATTTATCCCTGTAAAATGAAAGGTACTTTATTTCTTAATAACATAGTAACAACCCTGGTATTACCCAATAAAATAAAATCTAAGCAGCCTGGATTAACAAAATGGCTCAGTGAACAACTGTGTTTACAAACCCTTTGCTCCAAAAGAATTATTCAAGTCACCTGGTTAGTGAACTTTATGAACAATTTTGCTAACTAGCAGAAAGGTTTCTGGAACTCAGTTTGACATTCATTGTAAAAAAAGGATGTTAATATTTGTAAGAACATCATGATGCACTATGTTAAGAAGGAAAATGAGTTATTAGTAATTCTCACCTTCTTTTTCAATGCTACCATCAAAAAAAAATATGTGCTGAGTAGTGACCTCCAGTCTTCCAGGTATTAAATCAATTACTGTAACAAGTTCACAGTCTTCAGACAATACTAACTTTTCTTTCTGGCTTTGCTCCTCCTTCTCATCCCTACAACAACATAGCCAACTGTCATTGTTTTTTCTGAATTTTCCAGTTCCATCAAGTAGAAAAGTACAAGCACACTTTAGAAAATAATTAAATCTGATTTGTTTTAAGAGCATCACACAAGAAGTTCCATTATTTCATTTACATTATTTCATTTCACAAGAAAACCACTCTCTCTCCAACCTCAGTTCCAATCCTCAAAGGGAATTTACAAAATACCTTTCACAGGTGAG